ATTTTCACACTGGACACGTTGTTCTTTTGCACCCTCTGCCTCAACATTAACATTTCCTCAAATTAGAGCAATTACAAAGTACAAAAAATATGAGAATTATAATCTTGATTAACTTCCAAGTAAAAGAGACCACCTTGAACTGTGCATCTGCTAAATATCACCATGCACTGTCAAACCACCACTGGAAAAACCTCATTCCCCTTGGAAGAGCTGCTTTTGAGCAAGCTCTTATGCTCACCCTCGGAACGTGTCAAGGGAACGCAGCCGCTGCCGAGAGCCTGTGCTCCACGATGGCGGGGCAGGATCACAGTTAATGGAGTCTGCTGTGTTTGGGGATCCCAGCTCCTTCGGGAACAAACCAGACACATGAAGAGCAAGTCAGCAGCTGCACCAGCTGACTAGGGAACAAAGGATAGTAAACTGCAAACTTTCACACACACTCTGTCTTTATTCTCCCTCTCTTCCTTTTGTCTACTTCTAACCTCTCCCTGGCTTCACCACATTACAATAAAGTTTGTAGATGCTCTAGACTCTAGCTCTGACCAGGTAGAAACAACAATGCAGTGAAACGAGCCTGTGCTTGAGACTCATCAGAGCTGGGTCCCCTCCAAATCAGCCAGAGGCTTGCCAACACTCTGTGTAGTGCTTTGCAACACAGCTGAGCAGATCCAGTTGCCAGCTCTCAAACAGGACCCGCCCCAACCCATCAGCACTTGTCTGACACCACGGAGAGACTGTTTTGAGAGTTAAACCAGTGGAAAACTAATCCTTTTAAACACAGGAGTGGCTTCTTTGCAACTGAGTTTCCCAAACCACTCTGATCAGACCCAATGACAGCATAAAGAAGGGAACATCACAATATCCCAGTGATAAGAGATGAACTACAAGAATTGATGTAGAGCTCTGCTCCCAAGTCTTTTCATTCTAGGCAGGTTTGGACCTCTTAGATATGAAGCCCAGACTGTGGTGAACTATCTACATTCTAGTACAAAATGAGGATCACACAGAAATGCTACTTCTAGGGGTCCCGGATAAATTCTGACTTCATTTTTTTGCCAAAATTCCTGCTGTGCTGGAAGCAGCCATGAGTGCTGTGATTTCCCTTATGCTGACTGTGTCAGAAAGGGACATTTCACCAACACATTTGTTTCAAGAGAACTAAT